AAAGTGTCCACCCAAACGCGCCAACCTCCATATTCGAATCGAATAGCATGGTGTAAAAGAATGGCAAACATCTCGTAAACAAGTTCAGATATTTCCATCTAAACATAAAAATGGAATCTCATGAGCTCAAAGAGATTGTGACCTAACCTCTTCCTCCGTTTTTGGGAACACGTAAGAAATTGAGATAAGCCATTCCTGCCAGACCGACATTTGCAATATTGTCCTAAACCAAGCAATCAGTATTTTCAAATTTTTGAGAATATTTCTAGCATTGAAATCGAAACAGCACAGCCTATAGCACCTTCTGTTATCCTTGCCATCTCTGCACATGTTGATGATATCAAGTAAGAAAGCCTTCTTCACTCGCATGAGTTCCTCCGACTCCGTTGATTGCGTTATTAAGTTTGCAATAACTTTTAGCATCATAGGGTTTTCAAATCTAAAAAAAAATAGAAATTCTCTTTTACGTCGAAATGAAAAGAATTAACCATGAATTGCTTGAGGCCTTTCTTCCTTCTCTCGCTCCCCTGCTTTTCAATGCACAGGTACCACCCCTCTTCACAAACGGTTATTGATTATTATTGTTTTTTTTATTATTTCCAAAAATACGACTTATTATGCTCGGAAAAAAAGCTCGCGTTTTCCACCCATCTCTCACCTCCTTTTCTCTCTCTCCTTAAGACCAGCTACCTCCACGTGACTGTCATATGCCCTACTTGAGGTAAGGACTAGTACAATTACCGAACAATAAAAAGAAGAAGAATTGTGAACAAGTTTTATAACAGACAAAAAAAGTCAAGCACCAACCTCCAATCTGGACTGGCTGCCTCGCTCTTTGTGTAGGCAAACTCTGGTGTCATCTGTTCGGTTAAAATTTCGAACAACACGATGTATGTTGGTAGGGTTAGGTAGTCAGCATGTAATAACAACCGCTCGGTAATTAATGTGAAGAGGTGACGAGCTGATACAGATTCTGTCTTCCTCCTAAAGTAGAGACACATTTAATCCTTACAAACATCCCAAACAGAATTCATGAAATTGTAAAGCAAATTCTTCTAAACCAAAAAGTA